GAGTTATGAACACATTCGCATAAAAAAGAATCTTTAATTTCTCTATGAATAACTGACAGTTAATATTGCTGCATTTCAGGTGTTCCATATCTGTCAGGCAGGAGGCAGAATCGACTCGTTCCTTTGTCCCAATGGCACAGTGTTTAATCAGCAATACTTCGTGTGCGATTGGTGGTACAACTTTGACTGTTCGACGGCTGAACAGTTCTACGGTTTGAATGCTGAGATTGGCAAAGTGAATGGAAATGGATACACGAATGGCAATGGCTATACCAATGGTAATGGGAATGGAGTTACTAATGGTAACGGAAATGGCTACACCAACGGCAACGGAAATGGAGTTACCAATGGCAATGGTAAAGGAAATGGCTACACCAACGGCAACGGAAATGGAGTTACCAATGGCAATGGTAACGGAAATGGCTACACCAACGGCAACGGAAATGGAGTTACCAATGGCAATGGTAACGGAAATGGCTACACCAACGGCAACGGAAATGGAGTTACCAATGGCAATGGTAACGGAAATGGTTACACGAACGGTAACGGAAATGGCTACAGCAACGGCAACGGAAATGGAGTTATCAATGGCAATGGTAATGGTAACGGAAATGGATACACCAATGGCAACGGAAATGGCTACACCAACGGCAACGGAAATGGAGTTATCAATGGCAATGGTAACGGAAATGGATACACCAACGGCAATGGGAATGGAGTTATTAATGGCAACGGAAATGGATACACCAACGGTAACGGAAATGGCTACACCAACGGCAACGGAAATGGATACACCAACGGTAACGGAAATGGCTACACCAACGGCAACGGAAATGGCTACACCAACGGCAACGGGAATGGAGTTATCAATGGCAATGGTAATGGTAACGGAAATGGATACACTAATGGCAACGGTAATGGAAATGGATACACCAACGGTAATGGTTATACCAATGGCAATGGGAATGGTGTTATCAACGGCAACGGGAATGGTTATAGTAACGGCAACGGAAACGGAAATGGCTACACCAATGGTAATGGAAATGGTATTGTCAATGGTAATGGAAATGGATATACGAATGGAAATGGTAATGGGTACAACAATGGCAATGGTAATGGTGCTACCAACGGAAACGGTAATGGAAACGGCAATGGTAATGGCAATGGATATTATTATGGTGCCCCTAATGGTAACGGGAATGGTAACGGTGGAGCGACAAATGGTAATGGCATTAATGGACTCTATCAGACGCCGAGCTTCTAAACGACGACCCCTATTTCCTTTCTCTCGCTTTCTATTTTTTTTTCTTTTTTTTACGAATGTAACAAATAAAACGAATGCGTTTAGAGTGAAGACTTATGTAATGCATTTCATGCCTCAGTGGTGATGAATGTAGTCATTTGCAGGATCTTAGGCCATAAAAAGTGAAACGTTTTTGTTTTCATTTTTATTGTATTTTAACAAATGTAAATTCAATCTGTTGAAATCAACTGGGTAGTGTTTGATTGTTCCACACCATTCTAATTTTTGTATGAGGATGTTTCACTTTAAGTGGTTTATCAAATTTGTACACGTGTGCCATAATGTTTGATATGTAATAGCTTGTATGTTTATCGTATAATACAGGATATGTATATTTTGAAAATAAATTTTATTAATTTGCAATAAGTTGTTTGGTGTTAGATCACATTTATTAGACAGAAATTTTCAACACTTCAAGTGTAACAAGTATATACATTCACACAAACACACAGACACAGATACACCTATATATCTATATCTATATATACATATATATCATATATGATATATACACATATATATTCATACATCAATAATACATATGCATATATATATATATAAACCTACATATACACACAGTGGAAATTTGGATAAAGATTTTCTTAGATTTGGATTTAGATTTTTTCAAATCAAATTTCCTGCCGAATTAAACCTTGTCATATGTGCTAGATTGTTCTTTGAATTTTATATTTGATAGTGTGTGGGGTGACACGAGGAGCAATGTAGTGGGTACTCAAACTTTAAATTACGTATGTGAGTCTGGCTCATTTAGAGTGATGATCCCGTAATCACAATAAAAAAATCACCAGTTGAATAGAAAGGTAACATAAAAACAGCATTCATATAAATTTTAAACATAATAGCGATATACATAAAATCAGAGCACGCACCTATTTGCGAAAACAGAGGTAACCCACCATATCACAAACACTAGTCAGCCAGATAATTATCCAAAAGCCTTAGTCCACGCACGCTTAAAGCTTCTCTTTGTCTCTGTGTGATTAATTTTATAACTGGGTTCTTCCCGCGGTTATAGTGAATATTTATTTCAGTTGCTAACATCTGAGGTGCGGAGTTGTTGAAGGCGCGTGGAGAAGCCATGATCTGTAGTTTGCATGCAGTCCTGTCTACCGTTTAGGAGACTGGTACCATTCCTCCTGACTGGAAAAGGGGCTTGGCTTAACAAGGTCCTAACTCATCTGCTTTTGGCACGAGTGCGCGACCACCTATTACGAGCACAGAGACCTGAGCAGTCTGGTTTTACACCCAACAAGTCAAGTATAGACCGTGTCTTAACACTTCGTGTCCTTGTGGAAGGCCGATTTGAGTTTCAACAAGGTATGCATGCAGCTTATGTTGATCTCAAGAAGGCTTTCGAGTCAGTGCAGCGGGAGAGTTTCTGGAGAACACTGGGTCTCCGTGGGATCCCCCCTGGGATTATTGATTTGCTGTCTGGCCTATATACAGATACCGAGTGCTGTGAAGTGCGTGAGGGCATCTCTACCTTTTTCCCGGTGTCTGCCGGGGTGAGACAAGGATGTGTCCTGGCCCCAACCCTTTTCAATACTTGTATGGACTGGTTACTTGGCCGTGAACCGTAGTTCCTGTGGGGCATCAATTGGTAATTTCAAGGTCTGTGACCTTGACTTTGCCGATGATGCAGTGATTGTAACAGAGACATTGGAGGTCCTGGAAGTAGCTCTCGAAGCGCTGCATGAGGAGGCGAAACCGTTAGGACTCGGTCAAGTGAACCAAGACCAAGGTTCAGGAATTATGGGGACTTACTGGATGTCGATGTTCAATCTGTGTATGCCTGTGGCGAGAACATTGAGGTCTTGGATAGCTTCACTTATCTTGGTAGTGTAGTGCAGAGCGACAGAGGTTCCGACCGGGAAGTCACTCGACGACTCGGACTGGCCTACAGCGTTATGGACTCAAGCAATAGGAGTATGTGCTGGGGGTGGGAAGGAATGCTGCATGGAGGCTTGCTCGGAGGGACCCCAGGTGGAGACAGAGGTTGGGCGTGGCAAAGCGCAGCCATGCGTATGTCCCCTTCTGATGATGACATGGTATTCATCATAGTGAGAGCAGATCTAAACGTAAAATCTACATAATTTTAAATACATCAGAGTGGCTTCAATCTCATTATCAGTGATACATTTGCAATTCGATTTTTTTTTTTTTTTTTTTTAACCACACAAAAATGAATATCTATAATCACACATAATTATAATTTTTTATTCATAGATTATGATCATTGATGTCCATTTTGCGTAAAATAACTAGTAATTTTGAAGAAAGAGAAATGAACAGACATTTTACCTTCGTTATTAGTATAGAAATTCCATAAACATACATACACAAACACATATTTGCGTGTAGACTCACAGATAGACTAGGTAAAAGTGCCAGAAATAACATGAGCTTTTCAGGACATAAACAATTGCTCAAAGAATGAAATAACTGCAGTGTATAATTTCATTAAGATATATAGTTTTCAGTAGACATATATTTACATTACAGACAATGTTTTTAATTGCATTTGACCATCAATATTTTTCGTAGGGCATGATCATTCATGTCCATTTCCTTTACAAATGGACATGTGACACATACATACATATACATACAAATATATATGTAGATTGATAGATAGACTAGGTGAAAGTACCAGGCATTGCCCACAATTAGTAAAAGAACAACTGGCAATATATCATTTGGTCAAGAAATACATTTGTGGAACTAGATCGTTGTACTCAAAGCAGACAAGTTTTGCTCCACACACTCTGCTACACACGTACTTGTCGTCTTCTTTGCTGAGTTACTCTTCACATCAACATTCAACCATAGGCAAAGGTAAAACCTCAGGAAACTTAGTCGGCAGTCGGCCGTGAGCTTTCTTATGAGATATATGTTCATCTTTATGTGTATATACATATTGATATATGTATACAGGCACATACAGTACATTTAAGCACACACATATGTATGTGTGTGAGTATGTGTGAATCTACATATATACATATTTATAGAGAGAGATGTGTTTGCATATACATATATATATATATATATATATATATATATATATATATATATATATATATTTACACAAATATCTTTATATATGCACACATATGAGTGTGTATATACACCCATATATGCACATATATATTAACATTTATATATATATATTTAAATATCTATAACTATATCCATATATGTATATATACAATATGCATGCATACTTACATACATATATATGTATATATATGCACGCACAACCAATCAAAAAATATATGCATGTATGCACACAAAAAATCTTTCGCATATAAGGTTATCCACATACACACATGTATATGTGTGTGCTTGTGGTTGTTTTTATGCATATTCGCATGTATTGAATAAAATGGCTTGTACACAAATTACAGGAATTGCTTGATCAGTCAATACGTAATTACCTTGACCTGAGCGTGTAGAAGAAAGCGAAGAGCAGCTATATAAAGCGGGGCTCCAAGCACAGTCGTCAGTGCGCTTCCACATCTCGCTTTTTCTTCTCGCCGCATCTATACCTCTCTCTATCGATATAGATTCTTATGGAAGAATCTAAAATGAGTTCCATTAAATCTACTTGCATATTGCTAAGTAAGGAGAACGCTGTCTTTTATACATGCATATATGTGTGCGTGTGTGTGAGTATATGTATTAGTGTGTGTGTTGTATTGTATGCTTGCGTCTGTTGACAATACTAATAGATACATGTGTAGAAATTATGCAGTATTTTTATATATAACTGTGTTATCACATTTATTTCAGCTATAATTGTGTTCATATATATATATATATATATATATATTGTTTTTGTTTTTGTTTTTGTTTTGTTTTGTTTTGTTTACGTGGAATAGTGTGTGTCCATACAAGTATCTAATCTTATCTTGTATCTTGCAGCTCTCATTGGAATATGTTTAGCAGAAGCAAATTACTTGCCACCTTTCAATGGAAATGGTAACGGCAATGGGAATACAAATGGAAATGGAGTATATAGAAACGGTAATGGAAATGGTAATGGCGTCAATGGAAATGGGGCATATGTTAATGGAAATGGTGTCGATGGAGTATTCAGAAATGGAAATGGCAATGGCGGATATACCAATGGTAACGGTGCGGTGTGAATGGAAATGGCGCTTATGGAAATGGCAATGGCGGATATACCAATGGTAACGGTGTGAATGGAAATGGCGCTTATGGAAATGGAAATGGTGTAAATGGTAATGGGGTTTACGTTAATGGAAATGGTGTAAATGGTAATGGGGTGTATGGTAATGGTGTTAACGGAGGATATCACAACGGAAATGGAGTGACCGTTTACGCCAATGGCATCGTGGATCCGTTCAGAGCCCTAGCTGATGCCATTGGCGGTGGAGGCGTCCCAGGTGTGGACTACCCCGTCCTGGCCTTCGTCCCCGACACCGGGTTCTCGTGCAACGGCCAACTTCCTGGATATTACGCTGATACTTCTCCCGAGGCTGGCTGCCAGGTGAGTGGCAAGTCTTCTCTTTAAAGTAAAAGAGAGATAAGATGGAAAGAAAACGAATCATTCTGATACGATTTTCTAGTTTAGGAATCACTATTGGCAACTCTAGTTAAGTAAGAATTTCATAATTTTCCAGTAGTGTTTTAGTAATGTAGAGATATATGGAAAGAAATTAATCAGACTCACTATTATGCTCATTAACCATTTAAACACAAACACCTATATATATATACATATACATATATATATATATATATATATATATATATATATATATATATATATATATATTTATATATATATATATATAAATATATATAAATATATATACAGTGAGTATATGTTACTCACTGTAGTTAGATATACATATATATACATACACACACATATATATGTTACCCACTGTAGTTAGATTTCATTACTGAGTTATTGAACACATTCGCAGAAAAAAAAAGAATCTTTAATTTCTCAATGAATAACTGACAGTTAATATTGCTGCATTTCAGGTGTTCCATATCTGTCAGGCAGGAGGCAGAATCGACTCGTTCCTTTGTCCCAATGGCACAGTGTTTAATCAGCAATACTTCGTGTGCGATTGGTGGTACAACTTTGACTGTTCGACGGCTGAACAGTTCTACAGTTTGAATGCTGAGATTGGCAAAGTGAATGGAAATGGATACACGAATGGCAATGGCTATACCAATGGCTATACCAATGGTAATGGGAATGGAGTTACTAATGGTAACGGAAATGGCTACACCAACGGCAACGGAAATGGATTTATCAATGGCAATGGTAATGGTAACGGAAATGGATATACCAACGGTAACGGAAATGGATATACCAACGGCAACGGAAATGGATACACCAACGGCAACGGAAATGGAGTTATCAATGGCAATGGTAATGGTAACGGAAATGGATACACCAACGGTAACGGAAATGGAGTTATCAATGGCAATGGTAATGGTAACGGAAATGGATATACCAACGGTAACGGAAATGGATATACCAACGGCAACGGAAATGGATACACCAACGGCAACGGAAATGGAGTTATCAGTGGCAATGGTAATGGTAACGGAAATGGATACACCAACGGCAACGGAAATGGAGTTATCAATGGCAATGGTAACGGAAATGGATACACCAACGGCAATGGGAATGGAGTTATTGATGGTAACGGAAATGGCTATACCAACGGCAACGGAAATGGATACACCAACGGTAACGGAAATGGCTACACCAACGGCAACGGAAATGGAGTTATCAATGGCAATGGTAATGGTAACGGAAATGGATACACCAACGGCAACGGAAATGGCTACACCAACGGCAACGGGAATGGAGTTATCAATGGCAATGGTAATGGTTACGGAAATGGATACACCAATGGCAACGGTAATGGAAATGGATACACCAACGGTAATGGTTATACCAATGGCAATGGGAATGGTGTTAGCAACGGTAACGGGAATGGTTATAGTAACGGCAATGGAAACGGAAATGGCTACACCAATGGTAATGGAAATGGAATTGTCAATGGTAATGGAAATGGATATACGAATGGAAATGGTAATGGGTACAGCAATGGCAATGGTAATGGTGCTACCAACGGAAACGGTAATGGAAACGGCAATGGTAATGGCAATGGATATTATTATGGTGCCCCTAATGGTAACGGTGGAGCGACAAATGGTAATGGCATTAATGGACTCTAAAACTAAACGACGATCCCTATTTCCTTTCTCTCGCTCTTTATTTTTTTTCTTTTTTTTTTACGAATGTAACAAATATAACGAATGCGTTTAGAGTGAAGACTTATGTAATGCATTTCATGCCTCAGTGGTGATGAATGCAGTCATATGCAGGATCTTAGGCCATAAAAAGTGAAACATTTTTGTTTTCATTTCTATTGTATTCAAACAAATGTAAATTCAATCTGTCGAAATCAACTGGATAGTGTTTGATTGTTCCACACCATTCTAATTTTTGTATGAGAATGTTTCACTTTAAGTGGTTTATCAAATTTGTAGACGTGTGCCATAATGTTTGATATGTAATAGCTTGTATGTTTATCGTATAATAGAGAATATGTATATTTTGAAAATAAATTTTATTAATTTGCAATAAGTTGTTTGGTGTTAGATCACATTTAGTAGACAGAAATGGAGTCTCATATTATTTTCAACACTTCAAGTGTAACATACAAGTACATACATTCACACAGACACAGATACACCTATATATCTATATCTATATATACATATATATCATATATGATATATACACATATGATATATTCATACATCAATAATACATATGTATATATATATATATATATATATATATATATATATATATATATATAAACCTACATATACACACAGTGGAAATTTGGATAAAGATTTTCTTAGATTTGGATTTAGATTTTTTCAAATCAAATTTCCTGCCGAATTAAACCTTGTTATATGTGCTGGATTGTTCTTTGAATTTTATATTTGATAGTGTGTGGGGTGACACGAGGAGCTCATTTAGAGTGATGATCCCGTAATCACAATAAAAAAAATCACCAGTTGAATAGAAAGGTAACATAAAAAGAGCATTCATATAAATTTTAAACATAATAGCGATATACATAAAATCAGAGCACGCACCTATTTGCGAAAACAGAGGTAATCCACCATATCACAAACACTAGTCAGCCAGATAATTATCCAAAAGCCATAGTCCACGCAAGCTTAAAGCTTCTCTTTGTCTCTGTGTGATTAATTTTATAAGTAGGTTCTTCCCGCGTTTATAGTGAATATTTATTTCAGTAGCTAACATCTGAGGAAAGTTGAAGATAATCAAGTGAAATATGAAAATCTGAAAAGAGAATAATGAAATGAAAGTGGTTTCTTTGCTTTGTCTTGTTCATTGACGAGGATGATTGTTTGAGGTTATAGGATAAAGTTTGTGGGTTGTGAGACGAGTGGATTTAGCATGAGATACATATGGTACATATGAGTACAGGGCCCGCTGGGCTGAGTACTTTGAGCCACTATATAGGGTAGATCCCTCGTCTTGACAACTCCTGTTGGCTGGCACACAACCACTAATGGCTGATCCACCAAGCAGTGAGGCACCACCTTCCATCGAAGAGGTGAGAAGGGTGGTCTGTAGGCTGAAGAGTGGAAAGACTGCTGGTGTTTGTGGGATTGGTGCGGAGTTGTTGAAGGCGCGTGGAGAAGCCATGATCTGTAGTTTGCATGCAGTCCTGTCTACCGTTTAGGAGACTGGTACCATTCCTCCTGACTGGAAAAGGGGCTTGGCCTAACAAGGTCCTAACTCATCTGCTTTTGGCACGAGTGCGCGACCATCTATTACGAGCACAGAGACCTGAGCAGTCTGGTTTTACACCCAACAAGTCAAGTATAGACCGTGTCTTAACACTTTGTGTCCTTGTGGAAGGCCGATTTGAGTTTCAACAAGGTATGCATGCAGCTTATGTTGATCTCAAGAAGGCCGGGGTGAGACAAGGATGTGTCCTGGCCCCAACCCTTTCAATACTTGTATGGACCGGATACTTGGCCGTGCCGTGAACCGTAGTTTCTGTGGGGCATCAATTGGTAATTTCAAGGTTACAGACCTTGACTTTGTCGATGATGCAGTGATTGTAGCAGAGACATTGGAGGTCCTGGAAGTAGCTCTTGAAGCGCTGCATGAGGAGGCGAAGCCGTTAGGACTCGGTCAAGTGGACCAAGACCAAGGTTCAGGAATTATGGGGACTTACTGGATGTCGATGTTCAATCTGTGTATGCCTGTGGCGAGAACATTGAGGTCTTGGATAGCTTCACTTATCTTGGTAGTGTAGTGCAGAGCGACGGAGGTTCCGACCGGGAAGTCATTCGACGACTCGGACTGGCCTACAGCGTTATGGACTCACTCAATAGGAGTATTTGGCGCTGTCGGTATTTGACTAGAACTAAAATCAGGCTCTTCAGAGCACTGGTGATCCCGGTCTTACTCTATGGGTGTGAGAAATAGACACGAACAGTGCTCTGAAGGCCCGTCTTGACTCCTTTGGTTCTGTCTTCGCAGAATCATGGGGTATACCGGGAGGGACCATGTGTCCAATCAGAGGATACTCCATGAGACTGATTCAAGGCCTATTACCAGTCTGATACGAGAGCGCCAACTTCAGCTCTATGGGCATGTGGCTCGTTTTCCTGAGGAAGATCCGGCTCATAGGGTCATAGGAACTCTTGGTTGAAGCATGTCGATCAGAACTGCCAAGATGTGCTGGGGGTGGGAAGAAATGCTGCATGAAGGCTTTCTCGGAGGGACCCCAGGAGGTGGAGACAGAGGTTGGGCGTGGCAAAGCGCAGCCATGCGTATGTCCCCTTCTGATGATGACATGGTGTTGATCATAGTGTGAGCAGACCTAAACGTAAATTCTACATAATTTGAAATACATCAGAGTGGCTTCAATCTCATTATCAGTGATACAATTACAATTCGTTATTTTTTATTTTTTTATTTTTTTTTACACCACACAAAAATGAATATCTATAATCACACATAATGATCATTTTGTGTTCATAAATTATGATCATTGATGTCCATTTTGCGTAAAATAACTAGTAATATTGAAGA